GCCCTGACTATAACTTAACCTAGTCCCCTGCAGTTACTCCTATTCCTTTATGTATTTAGTTGCACCTTGCCTTTGTAGCTAGCTTAGTAGTTTTCTAATATCCTTTTGTACAAGGCCTATAGGTGTTAATGGCATTCCCAGGTTTAGAGTCCCCACGCACTCCCATATGCCTCTGAGTGGATTCCCACCGCATTCGGACCCATTGTCTTGCCTGCGCCGTTAAAACACTAGTGTTAAGTTTATAATTAATTAAAATAATATATAGCTATTAAACTTAAAATAGGTGTTACTCTTAGTATAATTAAGTTACTAAGTAAAAAATAAGACTACTTTATAAAGTAATTATACACTATTAAAAGTGTAAGCTTATAGCGTAGATATAACACTTTTAAAAAAGTAAAGTAAGGTAATTTACCTTTAGCTTTACTATTAGTGTTATAAGTAAAGCTCTTAAAGCGCTGTAAAAGTAGTAGATAGCTATAACTATATTATTTAGCACTTACTAAAAAAGCATAAAGTTAACATTAATAAAGAGCTCTTACTTAATAGCGTACAGCTACTGCAGCACCTATAGAAGGCAGCTAGAGGAGTAGCAGGCTTGTTACAGAGGTTATTTTATATACTATAGCAGAAGGGTTTTCTACGCAGTGCCCTAGTTAACTAAGTTATAGTGTAAAATTAGTTATTTAAAAAGGCTATTTTATTAAAAACTTATAACTAGTTTTATTAGCTAAAATTACATAAATCTTTTTACTACTTTACTACATTTTACTACTACACTTTCTAAGAATATCTACGCTACACTTATATAGTAAAAAAAAGAAGATTTAAATAATACTAATTACTATGCTATTAAAAATTATGCTAAGTATAAATATATAGTGTTCTAAAAACTACTTTTTCTTTTTTATAGTAGTAGCTTACTTTATTAGTATGTGTGCATAGGCTACTATTATAAGAACTTTATAACTAATAATAGCTAAATGCCTTACACACTTAGTAAGACCTCTTAATTAGCTTTAAAAACTTATATAGTAACTATACTAGTAGTGCATAAGCCTCTAAAATAGCTACTATTATTAATAAGTATAATATTATGTTAAAATTTAGCTACTTTATTAAAGATAACATGTTAAATAATAATAATAAGCTTATTTAAAGCCTTAATAAAAAGCTTAACTTACTATATAAGCTTAATAAACAGCACTAAATCTACTATACTGCTTATATAATCTAGGTAGTTATTAAAGCTATTATATATAGTATAAGTGTTATAAAATTTAAGTAAAAGCTTACTAAAGCTGCTTTACATAATTAATTTAAGCTATATAAAAAGTATAGAGTTATTAGACAACTTTATAACTTTATAAATAGCGTGCTAGTATTATATAAGTATATAAGGCTTTTTAAGACTCTCTAAATTAACATTATAAAGAAAGACTTAATTTAGTAGTTTAGCACACTTAATCTAGTGTGTAATAGTAGAGTACACTAGCACTTAGTTTACTTTATACTATTACACTATTATAAGCTTAGAGAGGTTATTAGTTACTTTTAATAGTAATAAAAAGGCTCTTTTAATGCTAATAAAAAGACTTAATAAGCTAGCTTTAATACCTTAGTAGATCTTATTACTAAAGATAATTAGAATAAGATTAAGCACTTTAAGAACTTTTTAAAAAAGTTTTATTAAATAATAAAAAAACTTAAGGGCTAAAGCTTACTTAGCTTACTATAAAGAACTATAATAAAGCTTTAGTGCCTTTAAATCTACTTTAATTAAATAAAAGTAATTACTACTAATAAGCTAAGTAACTTATACTTTAAAAACACTATTAAGTTTAGCTATTAAAAGCTTACTACTTACTAAGGTAAACTAATCTTTAATTTACTAGTTTTATACTACATAGTTACTACTATTCTTAACTCTTAATTATACTTACTTTAGTTTTAAGATTACTAGCAGCATTATAAAAGCTAGGTAAATAAAGTAACTAAGTTAATAAAAATAATTTTTAACTAGTATTTAGATGCTAAGAATAAGCATAAGGTTAAAGATAAGCTATTATCTTCTAAGTGTTATAAGCTGCTAGGTAGTAACTATTATAATAATAATTATAAAGCTTACCTTTTTATTAACCTCTCTTTTATAACAAATTAGCGCTTATATAAGTGTAAGAAGGTGTTAAATAAGCTATAGCTTTACTATAACTTTATAAAAGCTAATTACTATAAAAATTACCTTTTACTACATAAAGAACCTCTATAATAGTAGCTTACTAAAGGTAAAATAGCCTATTTTTTTTTTAAAATTACCCTTAATTTCCTTACTATCCTAGCTACTAGTTGTAAGTGTAAGAGGTGTTTTAGCGCAGCTAGTTGTATAGTAACTAATAATTAAGGCTTACTAAAAAGTGTAATAATTAAGGCTATTTAACTCTAAAAGAACTAGCTATAGCATAAGGTAGTAAGCAGTAAGCTTTTAGACCTTTTTACTTTTATTACTAGGAAGAATTAGTTATTTTATAGTTAATTAGACTTTAATTTTACGTCTCTAGAGACCTATAATCTTAGCTGTTTTAACTAGAGTATAGCGTACTTTAATTAAATTATACTACTTGTATAGATCACGTGAGCTGTAACAGTTATAATACGTACACCTACCTCTCCTCCTCCCTGTCGTACGAACGTACCCAAAATCTCACCCGTACAGGCCTCAAAATCGCCCAATCGTACAGTACTACGCCTCGTTGGAAGCCCTGATTCCGCTACCCAGACACCGACAACCCAGAGACGAAGTAGACTGTTGCAGAGAGTACAACAAGGCATCGATATGCCGGGCTTGCAAAATGTGTCGAAGGACTACTTCAATTCTATGGATCAATCCAAGAGACGGTGATCGAGGGTAGAGGATCTGCCAACCCTGCCTTCACAATCTCCCTGAATGTGATACTCGGAGTGTAATAACCAAACCTAGGGGAGGGGACACTCTAGGGGTCCAGATAGATTGCTATGTGGATCCCGCTACGGGAACGCGACGGTACATCACTAGTACTCATCTTGTAAGAAGGCTAGCCTAGCAGATATGTCTCGGATCCTGACAACACATTAGTGCATCTTGGCGATCTATGCTTCAATAAATACCAATACTACATCCGGACCTTCACTTCCTGCTAGAGGAAGGGGGGCCCGCCACCTTCGCCTCCAGAGCAAAAGCAGACTCCAAAAATCGTAAGGCAGACATATCTGTACGAGGTGCCTACTTACTCAACAAAAGAGCCTCCTTGCGCTCATTCTGGAACTGTAGATTCCTCAAGGCCGTTCAAGGCTGGAAAGGATGGCAGACTACTTTCCACTCTCTGCTTCAAGAAAAAGAGTCACACCCGGCTTTGTCTGTTACCATCGCAAGATAACAAGCCAAAAACAAATTCCGGAGAGCAAGAATCCCCGACGCGGTCTGGACCAGGACCATCCACTCTATCTATGCCATTCTTGTGAGGGTATTAGCTAGGGAAGATGTCTTGTCCCTCTCTACCCAGAGGACAAAGTGCGGACTCTTGCTGAGGTTCTTTCATCTCGGAACTCGGTTACTGAAGAGTGTCCCCCAGGGACAATTATGTGAAGACCTAAACGAAATTCTGCACGTAAGTGCCTAATCTAGCATAGTATATTCTCACCAACACGGAACATAACTAGAATAACGTTGATGAGTTAAATCTCTTGGAAGAATTACAAAGAATGTCAGTAAAATCCAAGCTCTCCCCAAAATAACCTTCCTACCACGTTCCACGTTGGTTAGGAAGATGCACTTGAGCTGTATGCCAAGCCAGTGGGAGTGTATCTGGTCATCACCAACCCCGAGAATCTGACCTAAGACATCTCCGAAAGATATATTGCAGCTCGCGAACAAGAATTGTGGAGTTCTTTATGCTTGTTTTTACTCTGAGGAGAGCTCTTTCCCGTTAAAGAGACCGGAATGAAATGTTGTGTAGTATATATGCTAAGAGGAAAATGAAAGGCTGCCGTGGATATCCATTTCGTTGTAGTTGTAGTTGTATTTATAAGTAGGTAATTCAGAGCACCCAAACCAGGACTTAACCATAGTATCAATGTGCACTGCAATCCCGAGCACCACCGAAATTTGTTCTAGTCCCTCTAGGGCAATCTTCGTGTTTCGATTCGATTAGTTTGAAAATTGACGAATGATTCGCGCAACAATTTCTAGCTTAATACCACCATTTTATGCTCTCCCGCCCTACACTGCAATATTTAACCTCCGCAACGCTTCATCGCCTCCATTTAAATTAACTCGTGGTTTTGACAGCCAACGTCTTAAGTGGATCACTGCGATATTGAAGGTTGCGGACGGGTGGAAACATTCAGTGTAGGAACAGTAGAAATGGACACTCGTTTAGGGAAAAAGTCGTCTTTGATTGTTTCAGGGCTTTGGCCATTGCCAACCAGAAGCGAGCATCCGCTACCATAGGAATGCACCATATGAAAGTTCTGATCGCAGCAACAATTCTACGTTGACAGTCTTATGGGCTAGATGAAGTGGTGCAGGAGGTATAAGCTATGTCAGAGCTGTTGGATAGAGGGCATATAGAAGAGAGGGGTCAATTATGCAGTAAGAGCTAACTAGGTATATGGAGCGATTGTGTAAGGTTGGAGGAGCTCGATGAAGCTCCGAGGTGGATATATAACATACAAAGATACGCTAGTCCTAACTAGGTCGCTGGCGGAGCTTAAGGGCCCCCACATTCAGATGTGGCGTAACGTCACGTGTGATATATTTTGGATATGGTAACTTAAACCGTAAAAGCTAGCGTTGTCGTGATGAATCCTGAGTCAGGATGTTTCCTGAATCTTCCGTCTTTAGGCAACTCTCAAGTCTCGGTCGATGACGTAAGTGGGGGGTATACAAGGGTAATATCGTAGAAGTTGGGGGCATTTTAGTCATACACTATCAATCTGTCTTAGATAGCCTCCGTATCTGGTTCCTATAGTTGCCCACAACAACTTCTCAGCTGCAGTCTTGGAGGTAAGATCCCGTTCAAAATTTTACTCCACAATGAGAGATCATCGTTGGCCACCGACGGAGGCTGGCAGAGGCGGAAGCAGTTATAATTTTCGACATGGTAGTCTTCTATTGATAGCGGAAGTAAATCGCAACAATGGCGGCTTAAATAACGAGTGACAATACACGATAGATCCTGAAAGGTACTTAGCCTAAGAAGATGGGCCTAGCGCACACACTGGTAACCGGCCCCTCTTTTCCGCATTTCCATAAACTTCCATAAACAGAGGCGTCCGCTTCCCTACCCACGCCTTCATTAGTGCAGCTATGCAGGGATTCCTTACTCCTTATTAAATGCGATCTGGTTTTCATGTTAGTTTTTAGATGCTATTCGTATTTTGGGCCACAAGGTCCCATGCGTGTGTGTGAAGAGGTTAAGAGCGAGGTTGCGTGTAATATGACCTTTGTCGGGTTTGAAGCATGGATATTTGGTGGAAGTTGTGGGTTTGCCACTGCAAACCTCTAGATATGCAGTTCGGAGAGAAACGACAACTAAATGAAGATATTGAGAAGCGAATGACTGAAGATTTCTCGGACAAAAAAGATAATCGGATATGAGCATAAACAAGAGCGGAAGACAGCAAATTTTAGCGTCCCAAGAAGGAGAATGCGGAGGAGGGGTGAGCGAAAGGACAAGAGGAGTGAAAGGGAAGCCGGGGCAGTGTAGACAGTAAAGGATTATTTATGGACCAGAACGGGTAGGCTGGGTGGAGATGTCGAAATCGCCAATCGTAAGTCGCATGGTAGACGCCGAGTGTCGTCAGCCCTGAGGAGGTATGAACATCAGTTTGCCACGTGGCCCTCCTGCCGGACCCAGTCAATAGCTGGAGAGCGCAGCTCAACGCCAAAGGAGGTTTTCTGCGATCTAGTACAGAGCAGGGCAGAGACAGGGATGTCGAGACAAAGAGGAGCGATTCTGTAGCTGTTTAATTAACCGTTATCGCTTATTATTGGGATTGGCTGAAGGACCAAAGGAAATCTCTCCGCTCTGTGTTTACAACTTTGAAGTTGGTTGGCGAGAGAGTGGCCGAGTGATGCTGCACTACGTTACTAGTTAGGAAGATGTGTAACCCCGGCGCTGATTTGCAATCGACTTGCCATCCCGAATCATCGCCTGACTCAGATCGTAAAATATCCCCTGGCTTGAAGCTCGAACTCATGGTCATAGCTTTCCAGAAGTGCTTAAGAGCCGGCACATTGATGTAGAGTGGTGAAAGAGAGCTGGTTCAGAAAGCCGCAGGCAAGATACGGCTAAAAAGAAGGGTCATAGATGGTCGAAAGCCTCTCCCAGATGCGACTGCGCATCCCGAAACTAGTGCCATGACGAGCTCTCGGCCACTAGTCCTAGTCCGATCATCCGGTGGGGCTACTGCCAAATAGGAGGCTTTAAATCAACTTCATGCCGTTTCTCTCAATCTTACAACCACCTTACAACCGTCTCTTTGTCCATGCTCTTCTTCGAATCAACTTCCCCAAGCGACCCTCCGCATCAATGAAAGAACGATCACGCCTCTGCGCCGTATACAGACGTCTTCAGAACCCCTGACTCGTCAATGGACCATCACCAGTCTATAGCTATAGGGTAAGAAGAAGCACAGCTTTAACGTATATTGGGAGGAAATAATAATAATAGTAATAAATAATAATATAAATAAGAAGAAGAAGAAGAAGAAGAAGAAGAAAACAGATGGCAGGGCAGTAAGATGGATGGAAAAGATGTATGATGGGTCGGAAAACTAAATGATTACGTAAGGTAATTCGATGACAAGGGAGTGAGGCAAGCGACTTGGAAAAACGATGGTCCACTCCTTGAAGCTGGAGGCCATAAGCGGTCATGATGTGGATGTTCCATTAGTATACAGCATCTCTTGGACCAAATTCCATTGTATACGAATGCTAATCGAGGTGTCGCACAGCTTCAAATATCGTCAACGGTGTTCGGCAGAGCGATGAAAGCAACATATTTAGCTCTCTCCATGGATACATTTGCAGCTAGCGAAAGGCGAAAGGCTAGCCATTTCACAGCACTCCTGAGTCTGCAATCTCAGTATGCAATATTTTAAGACCCAGAAGATTGCGGCTCTGCGGACCCAACAACGGGGCTATCTCATATTACGAGCTGACTCTGTCTCTTTTCTTGGCCCGATCCTGGAGGACACCTGGCTGCCCCCGCCTCACTCTTCTGCCCCTCCGCATTCGAATCCTTTGCCTTTCACAAGAATCCTCGCAAACCTCCTGCATGAAGACGCTAGCCGAAATCGTCCACTTCAGTGTTCAATTCACCCGTATCGCCAATTCTCAATGGATTTCTGCAGTCGCTCAAGCCTTGGATTGCGATGGCTTTCGAAGCGGTGAGTGATGCAAAGGACACATCCCTGTAGTTTCATATACATATGTGCTGCCTAGTGTGTATTCGGAATGGTTAGGGAGCCTTTGAACTCGGGATACGCTGCCACCTTCCCTTGCCCTCCGCAGAGAAATTTTCTTGGAGACTCATGACTGCTGCACAACTAATTAGACAGCGAATGCGCTTCGTGCCCGTCATTCTAACTAGAAACAAACACATATTCTGCGTCAGTCAGGCTTTACGTCACAAGGCATTGAAGCTCTATATAGTTTAACTCCAAGTAGGAAACATATAATCATTATCGTCGTTATGAAAAGAAATCCCAGGAAAGTCCGAACTTCAGGCCTAGTTGGGTGGAAGTTGTACACCTGCTATATACTCTTTTGTCCTGTGGGTCTTAATGAAAATCTCAGAACATTCGTTATGCTCAAACACCACAAATTCCGGCCCGCGTAAGGTTAATGAAGGTTAAGTAAAAGTAACATAATCCGCAAAAAATAAGTGCCCCATCCTATTGGTTTGGAACAGTGGTCTCTGGGCACATGGAAAAGAATGAAATAACAGGATGAAGAGGGGTTGGTCATGGAGCTCACTCATCTAGAGTGACGAGGAATTTTTGGTATGAAATCTCTTCAAGTGTAGCTTGACTGCATCTGAGCGACGAAACCTCACTTTGCAGATTTGGCACTGGAGTTTAGGGTCTCTCTTGTTAGGATCGCCGTGGGAGGTATGGGTATGTCTCAATAGACTATTGCGAGCGGAATATCCCGTAAACTTGGTGAGACAAATGGTGCACCACAACACCTTGTGGGAAGTATCGCTGGAGGATTGGGGGGGGGGGCTGGGGTCTGGAAAAGTGTTGGGTGCGGTTGCGTATTGGCTTGAAGGTGTCTGGATTTGCGTCAATGCAGGTTAAAGACGAACGAGCTCACCCTTCTTGAGGACATAGCGGCATCGTAGATTCTCCAGGGCCTCCCATAAACCAAACAGCGATCGAATTTGATAAGGGTGAATTCTGTTGCCCCATATGGACTTGCTCATGTCCATTTGTGGGCTCAGGATACACTGGTATCGTCCGGGATTCAGAACCACCAGTCGAATATAAGAGTTTGGGCATATTTAAGGCTTCTTCTGGGAGATAGAGTGCACCCACGGAATTCTGAGAGGAGGAACTAATGCTTGCGAAAGTAGCCATGTTGCTCACATACGGTCCCCAAGAATTTTGGGATAGCCCCCCTAACGAAGAAGTAGGATATAGCTCCGAACCCGTACGGTTTGAGCTAGACATTGTTGCGCAGTCGTTAGAAAGTGAACAGTCAACGTAGGATTCGGGGTCGCTGCATATTGGGTTTTCGAGCCATTGATCATGAGACATTGCTTCAAGACAGGACTGGGACTCCCCCTGAAACTCGTTGGGCTGGTGACAGTTGAAAGGCCTGGAGGTACCCGGATTCTCGAAGTATATGGAAGCAAGTGGGCGCGACGGTGGAGTGTGCAATATCTCTCTGTGTGAACCTGCTTGCAGAGGGACCCTTGAGGGAGAATGAAGACACAAAAATTGGGAATGTCTGTGACAGCGAGTGGGATAGTCTGTGGCCAGCGTGCAATGACTATTTGTCGACAACTTGGAAGATTCTTTGCTGGGGTCTAAACCCTGTTCCCAGTGTCTTTGCAAACAAACACCAACCCTCAAAGACCCCAGGCGCGGTACTGAGGACAGTATAGGACCGCTGAAGGAGCGAGCTGGTGCGAAGTACGACCAAATTTTGTGACTTTTGCGGGCAGCGTTGTTGAGGCTTCCGCTAAGCATCCCGTTAGCATCGAAGAATGAAGATATTAGACTGCTCACTTTGCTGTAGACAAGTGCCGATGAGAAGAGATTGGTACCCCTAGCATCGTAGCTATGCTGCAGACTCCCTGATTTTATGCTCTGGAGGTAGACGGACGATTACGCTAGAGGCTTTGGAGGATGTCAATAGTGGGCATTTATTATGGAATTATGCTGGAGGATGGGGAAAGGAGGCTACCGTCTTAACCAACACAATTCTCGTCATTCCAATTTTAGGGGGTTACTCTCTTAAGTCATCTCCAGTCGGTGTCCAGGCGGGGGTGGTGGGTGGGAAATGGCAATGACCATTACACAACCTCACGCAGCTCGCCACGCTGATTCCATGAAGGTAGTTAATCCCATAAAGCCTTCATGCAGATGCCTCTTCTTCGCTGGCACCACTAGTCATCTACGATAGGCGTTGTGGACGTGGAGCGGACATGGACAAGATGCTTTCAATCCCCGCGTCAAGATGGAGGAATTGACTGTGGCAGCTGACCCGCGCACAAAAGTTCGACGTTGGGATGTAATGCGCTAAATGAAACCAATTGATGCTAAAATATCCATCCTCCAATTCCTCTATGCAGACTTCTAGCAGGGTGTCATCGCTAACAACCAGTAACTGGAAGCAGCATTGATGAAATTACCAACAAGAGACGCCAGCAATATTTTCTTGCCCGATATTCGGGATAGCCTCCAGGCTGCGTTCTTATCATGCGCAGGAGCGACTGAAGATTCGCATGTCGGAGTCTTCATTCACCGACAGAGCATCGGCTATCGAAGTTTACGAGGGCTGAGACATGCGTTGGTTTGATGCCACGGTCGAAGGCCTGAACCGTTAGATCAAGGTATGGCCCATGTTCTGATGGCAAGAGACTCCTAGGCGGTTCCGTACTCTAGGGCTACGACGGGTCATAACTACTAGAACTGATGGCGGGTAAAGCAACTACCTGAAAAGTCAAATGAAAGTGATCTTCTATCACCGTTACCCAAAGAATATATTCTATGGAAGGAAGAGAACTTACTTTCACAATTAGTGGCATCAGTTCGCCGTGCTCTGAGGGGCATACAATGTATAGCAAGGCTGTTGTAACCGGAAATGGCGCCATTGAAGGAACATTGGTCTTGCAAGCAAGCTTACTTAGAAAGCCGCAGAGGGACGGGGAGGTAAATGGAGAGTACGCAAAATATTTGAAAATTCGTCAGGTTGGACGAGAAGAGTGAGGTTGGGCTGAGTGTTTATGGATTTCTCTCACGGAGTCCATACGCTTACGCTCAAGAAACACAGGAAGTGGCTGTAATCCTTTCCGTAAGGATTTCAGAAACCGCCTAGGCATCGTTCTTTCACCGGTACGGATCCAGAATAATACTGCTCGAAGCGCAGAGTACTTGAAGGTCCATAACCGATGGAATTAGTTGTGTGAGAGGGCGGCCACGGGAGGAATGCTTCAGAGCTTCACGAAACCTGTCTCTATCACTTTGATCAGGAAATTTCATTTCTGGATATATTGAAGACTATAGCGCGTTCTCGTGCTGCTTTTCAAGGCATCTGTTAATGATACCGGTCAGTTCCGCATGGCACGGCTTAACAGGCACCTTGCCTCGTGGCGGAACTGCACGGCTCTGGGCTAGACGGGGGTGGCCTCATGGCCTGCTTTAGGCTGCTACTAGCAAAGGTGTATCATGCTTTATTCCGAACACAAAGATGAAAGAGTTCTCGAGCCTAAGAGAGTGGGACCTTAATAATCCCCTGTTCCTCTCCGACTGTAACTGTCTTGAAGCGGCGAATAGTAGGACTACTGCCAGATGTTAGGTAACTTTTGGCCCCATCATTAGGACATCAAAAGAGGCCTGAACGGACTCACGCTATGAGATACCTGAGTACTGAAAAAAAAACACGTGTAAAGTGGGGATCTCGAGCTCCCCGGAGGACGTAGAGGTGGCCACTGGAGGCTTAACATCCTCAGCATGCAACCGACGTGGCTTCCGGTCGAAGGTCTCCCAGTTTAAGCGTTGACGAATATCTTAAGCGAGCTGCCAAACCCTGCTCACTCATCGTCCTCCAACGTCCGCCAAGGCTCAAGGACGTGATGAAGGAGTGTTGTGCATGTTGGGTATTTTCTCACCATATACACCGCCGCGCGACAACTATGCATGTGAGGGGTTTCAAATCGATGGTGAAGGATACACGAGGCAGTGGAGGAATTGCACTGCAATTCTTTGTCTTAGATAGAAGACAATTCATGAGAGTTGTTTTTAGCATGTGTTGCGGAACTACAAGACCGCGAAAATAACATTGCGACAGACCTAATTCGAATTGGACCCTAGCCCTCTACACTACTGCAGCAGAGTACTTCATAGAATATTATCGAAGACCGAGCTTTGCAGCAATTTCATGATCAAACTAAAGCCCTCAAAAGCGTCTGACTCGTAGTCAGGTCCAATGGTTCTCGTGAAAATTCATCGCCGATCATGTAATTTTTCATGCCTGGTGCAATCGTTTTTTCGAGTGAAGGCTTTCCCGCATTCTGAGCACGCATGTGGTCGTTCTCCCAGATGACTTCTAATATGATCCCTAAGGTGAAGGCTGCGAGTAAACATTTTACCACATATATGGCAATGCCGGGTCTTTTTTGCGGTCGAAGGAATCAAAGACTTGAACCTATTTGCAAGTTCGCTCATTTCAGGGTGGAATGCCAGCCTATGTCTATCGTGTAGTTAGCATTAGCAAAAGAAGATCGAAATGGCTGAATGTTATCCTTACTTATCAAGATCATTTTTGTTAGAGAACCCGCATTCGGTCGCAAAACACTGGCTTGCGGTACATTGGAAGGGTCTGTCATGAACATTAACATGCCTTTTGCGAGACTCTAAGTCTTTAAACCCTTCTGAGAAATATCTACAAGTTACTTTCGGACACTTGAAGATCTTCTCATCGTCGTAGAACTGGCGGAAGATTGCGAGTTCAGAAGCGGAAAGCTTAGGAGGGAGCCCTTCCAGAATTTCTCGATTGCGTTCAAGGGCTTTGCTCAGACTTTGGATGCTGACAACATGTCTGGCCTTAAATCCCTTTTCTTGGAATTTGAAAATATGGCTTGCTACTGCGGCTAAGGTATTAAAAAATATCTCGCGCTGAAAGACTTTGCACTTTTCTTCACATTGCGGAAGTATATTGTCGTGCCAGGCTTCCTCATCATATCTCATGGTGAAGTCCTCGAGAGCAACGGCAATTTCCGAAAGTCGCGTAGGAACATCATTACCTTTGGTGAGCAAATCATTTCCACTGTGAATGAAGGCATTGACGTGGTGGAACCATTTGGCTACGGCATAGTCTTGGAATGCGAGGTGCCCTTGCAGGATGGCCTGGTGGAGGGTGAAGTTGTCTATGCCTTGGTCGTCCTGGAAGCACGGAAAAGTGAGATATTGAAGGCACAGAGCGGCGAGCTCGCATTCCACGGACGGCTCATGAATTTCTCTCGTACACTGAGTAATATATCTAAGCATAATCATAAGTAAGGTGCGCTGGTTAGGCAAGTTGGAGCCTTACAGCTTCGCTGTGCTATGCACCAAATGAACTCGATCTCCGGTGCGCTGCACAAGAGAGCCGCATATATCGTGAATGTGGACTCGCAATCTCCGATCGTCGTACTCAATTGTTTGAGCATCAAAGTCTATGGACAAAGCCACTTGAATTTCTTTCCACGTCAACTGGCGCTTTGCGCAGACCATCCAACCAAGAAGTTTCTTAGCCACATTCCATTCGGCTTCGCTGGATGTTCGCTTGATGCGGCTCACAATCCGCTCGTAGCTAAGATTCATCAGCCCGACGGCTATGAAACTAAATGTAGACAAGGAAGCGTAAAAACTTCAAAAGACTACATATTTTCGGCTCAGGAGCTCAAAACTGTGGTAAAGACATCGCGGAAGACTTACGCTTCTTCAAGTCCATTAGGAAATCTCTCCAATTGAGTCTCATCAAGGAACTCCAGCTTTGTAGGCTGCTTGAGAAGGTTGGACATGACCAGTTCTGCATATAGAAACATACCTGTATAGAAAAGTGATTAGCTAGCAGAGGCCGCGCCTAGCAGCCCTTGAATACGTACCATGTGCTCGGGAAATAGTAAGTTCTCGGATATAATGAGCTAGTTCTTCCTCAAGAGAATACTTCACCTTAACCTGACTCGCAAGATTGCTGACATAGATTCGGATATCCCTTTCGTTATCCGTTGAAGTTAGGCTTATAATCTTTGGGACGACTTTGGAGTTTAACGAACGGTGAAGTGCCTTTTTTATATCAGCATAGTCTTGGCTGACAAACAGAATCCGTAGTCTCCCAGGATCCTCGGAATCGCATTGGGTCACCAATTGGACGAAGAATTCCAGAATCTGCTTTCTTTCGGGACCTTCGCATTCGTCTAGACCGTCGACGATAATGTATTGTTTCGGGATGGTGAGACAAAAGTCCTCCAGGAGCTTTTTCGCCGAACCGAGAGAGCGCAAGGATGGCTCTCCACTTGAAGATGATCGTGTGTGACAGTGAGGCATCAAGTCAGGAAACTGGTCCAAGAGTTGGTCTAAAAGCCCTTTGAAAACGCCCACGGCCGAACTATTCCCCCCTCCGTCGCAATTACAGTAGAAATAAGAGGTCAGCACGGGTTTTCTCCGCTTGCATTCCTCGATGATAACAGATGCGAGGATAGTCTTGCCTACTCCATTATCAGCGCAGCTTAGGTAGGATACTTGCCGCCGTGTTACATACCAGCGCCTGGCATTCCTGTCATCCAAGCTAGCGGAGTTGTTGGGACTTCGGCGTCCATCCAGTTCTTGATATATTCATTTCTGAGGATCCAAAGCCCTGTTGTAGGATACGAGCTCCTGACCTCACAGAACTTCTCATGGTCCAGCTTGGCCTGCGAGCCTGCTGCTATCCATTCCTTAACCGCTTTTGTTTTTTTGTTCTGCTCTTCTGCTACCAAAAGATCTAATTTAGTATTCATTTCTTCGATGTCTTCTTGGTACTGGCGGAAGTGAATTAGGTGCGCACGTGTTTCAATTAGCCGCTTGTGTCGGCCAAGGCTCTTCAAAATGCCATTGAACTTTGTTCCGAAGTCGTTCCACATAGATCGAAAGAATCTTTTCCATACTTCAGGTTCAACGTATTAGTAGAAGTGTCAACAGCTCTGGGGGAATATCACCTTTTCCCGTGAAGAATCGTAATGCATGTTGATGAAATTCCAGGATATCCATATATATTAGCTCCAGGGCCTGCAGCATGTATGGGTTTTGACGGAATAAGCTCTCATACTCCGACAATAGTGGAAGGCATTCGCCAATCTGTTCGTAGGCATCTAGCAACGTATCGAATGAGTCGGCAAGGGTGCTTGCAGTCTAGTGCTACAAGTTTAGAAAATATTTAATTGGTCCACGAAACGGGAACACACCAGGAGCAAGAACTTTATGGGCCCCCAAATGAAGGCAACTGTGCGGGAGACGTTCAAAAAGACCTCAATAACCTTGCCGAATTGGTTCAGTGCTTCGAGACATGATTGAAGTCGCGACAAGTTCATCATATTCTTTAGGCCTTCTTGTTCATGTTGAATACGGATGACCTCATGACAGAGGTTTTCGTAAGTCGAATTCTCGAATTCCGTGAGTTGCTGACCTGAGAGCCGCGATCGAAATTTCGTAAGTGCTGCTTTGAAGGGGTCTGCCGTAGATCGCGGGTTGACAGCAGTGGAAGCGCGCGATAATGACGATATCTCATCGTTGGTCGCCATTTATTTGTCTTTTACAGGAGGAATCGAAGAAAGTAGGCGACATGATGGGGAGGAGAGAGATGTGCAGGAAGGCTGAGGATCGGACCGGTGAGCACGGTGGCTTATGCAAAGTGGCTCAGCCTTGTCACAGCCAATGGGGACTTGCATCGTGGCGCTCGAGGCAGAAAGCGCGGCTTTTTCAGGCAGAGGACGGGAGTCAAAATGGCTTCTGAGGCCTTCCGTGGATCTAAAAGACTGCTAGAGGATTTGTGATGTCCCTTGGAGGTCGATTTAACCTCAACTAAGTCAACATTGCCAAGACGCTAGTATCGGACGGACCAGAATGGTCTAGGTCGACCCGTTATGACGATGTCTCTCAAGCGACTCCTGAACGAGTCGGACTACACAGATGTTCATTACGCGGAACACTTGTACCCTCCCGAATTGGATCCGTTCGGAGCTTCTGACAAGTGAGTGTGGTGTGGCTCATTGCCGATGGCAGCTAAGTCTTTTGAAGCAGCTATCCAATTTTGCGGGATCAATCATGGGATAGCTACCTTGGCGAAACCCTCGGCACAGGGAGCTGCCAGGGCGACTGGGATCAAGAACCTGATGGAGATTTTCTCAATTCAGGATCGTTTTTTTATACCCAGAAAGAGATGGCACAGTGGGCTGCGGAGAACCTCTCGTCAGCAACAGCTTCCACAACACCTCCAGTAGAACTCGAGCATGAAAAAATATGTTATGGAATGGTATACATCCCACAGAAAACATGGATTGAACGCGAATGACCAGGTTTAAATAGATTTATCGGACCTCAGTAAAACTACGGGGGGAGATGGCTGAACTTGATGCTAAACTGGGTACTGGTGGTGGTTATCCTGCTGAAGGATATCACAGCATGAGGATCGTCAAGTCAGGGGCCCAGATTCTTGTATCTTTCCCGGACAATTTTGTCATGGGGGAAGTGAATACACAGCTTGAAAAGGCCCTTGATGAAATCATTGGCCAACCGCTCATCGAATTCGAAGTGTTAACCCATATACGCTCAGCACGGGAAACCATTAGCCGAGCGACGAAGGAGAAAGACGCTATTGTTCGCGTCAACATAAATGTTTATGGCCCCCGGAATGCTGCCCCTCAAATAGGATCCAGCTTGTCCCAACACAAGGTGTATCTGCAAAAACCCGACTTCCTCCGCAAAGGCTCAACGTACGATAATCCCCACGTCCTCAAGCTTCCCGATTTCCATCTGCCAAGCCAGGAGTGTATCATGCCTGTGGGGATTGAGAAGAAGTCTGAAGCGGATAAGGCGGACATTTTCAAGAAGAAAATTTTAGAAGTTTATTCATCGCTCAAGAGAGGTCAGCGGCTAGTTGGCTTAGAGGGAGACGATCGTATGAAAACGCCACTCTTGTTGTGAGTATTTTCATTCGAAATCGTAACGATGCTTAGTTGCCAGGGCTAGGGGACCAAATTAGCTCTCCGACATTCAACTCCGCCTGAGCTTGCCCAAGATATATCTGCTAACGTCCGAATATTAGGCATCAAAAAGAAGCCTTAGAATTCTTAACGCAACGAGAAAATGGTCCAATCCCTGATGAGTTTTCGCTTTGGAGATCTGATGACGTAGATGGGCAACCTTGGTAAGGGGAATCTACCTTTTTAGTTGAGACCAAATTGCTCATCGTCTTAGCTACCGACATTCTATCACAAACACGATCTGTATGGTAAGCCCTGTGGCATATATAGTGCATTTATTGATACATCACAGCGCGAATTACGCCAGTAGAAACTGGAGGTGGGATTCTGGCGGACGATATGGGAATGGGTAAAACTTTGTCCATCCTAGCCCTCATCCTTAGGACGCTCGAGGAAGCCCACTCTTGGGTATCCGAGCATAACAGCACCAGCGACATCTCGCCAGAAGCAATCGTGGAACGAAAATCCCGTCCTCGCGCAAGGGCTACATTAATTATTGCCTCATCAGATCGTGAGAAACGCCAATGGCCTCCTTCTCCTACCGATAATATAGCTAATCGAAGCGCAACAGTTATGATTAACGAGTGGTTTCAAGAAATTGATAGGTACCTGCACTCGCTACCGCAATATTATCAATGAACTAACAAATTCACCCAGGCATTTCCATCGTCAAATTAGTGGAGTCATGAAGGTCATCAAGTATCATGGTCAGAATCGCGAAACAGAAATCGCTAGGCTTTGTGATGCGGACCTAATCATCACAACGTACCACACGCTTGCATCAGATTTCGCGGCCAAGCGGGACCTGTTGAACCGAATTGAATGGTATAGGTTGGTACTTGATGAGGGTAGGAAGATTATGAATAGGCTAAGAACCTTGTCTGACACTAGAACAGCACACATCATTCGACGACAATCTTCAACCCTGTATCGAACCGTAGCCGAACTTAAAGCAAGGTCTCGGTGGTGTTTGACCGGGACGCCGATTCAGAATCGCCTCGAAGATATCGGCTCACTTTTCGCCTTTCTCAGAGTATCTCCATTTGATAGCATGTCGACGTTTCGAAAATTTATTGCAATGCCTTTTGATGAAGGCGAGAAGCGTAGTGAGATCGCCATCGATCGCTTCACCCGACTACTGGATTCCTTATGCCTCCGGCGAACGAAGGAACTCCTTCATTTGCCTGCCCAACAAGACAGAGTCAGACTCCTCGACTTCTCGATCGATGAAAGGCAGCAGTATGAACAGACGAAGAAAATGATGATCCGGGCTATCCGCAACCAAGTCGGAACATTCGACCACAAGAGCATGCTCGGCATGTTCCAGATGCAACTGCAACTACGAATTCTCTGCAACCACGGCACCTTTCAGCAACCGTTTTCCTGGAACCGCCGGAATCTTCATTTACTCGATGAGCGAGAGGATATGGAATGCTCACTTGGCCGGGATGGTGAAGTAACGTGCACAACTTGCCGACAAGTCATGCCGGTCATTGGATCTAGCTCATTATATCGACGATACACCGATCATTGTCGACATGTTCTCTGCCTGGAGTGCATTGAAGAGAGTATGCCTAATAGTCAGGGGACTGTGCTCACGGGCTGCCCCTTATGCACCTCTCTTATAGGTTCTTTGGCTAGTGCACCCTCTCAATCCCAACCATCAACGCAAGCTACAAATTCAGACTCCGACAGCTACTTTCGATCAGGCGGATCCTCTTCGAAAATGGTAGCTTTAATGAACGACGTTCAAGAAAATGTGTGGGCAACTAAAAGGTACAAATTTCTAGTTTTCGTACGGGAAAAATGGACAAATATCTAACGTATAAGTTTAGCATCATCTTCTCCCACTGGACACGCACTTTGGATCTTATCGAGACTTATTTGAGGAGGTGTTCTATTGCTTCCGCACGAATAGATGGTGAATGCCCGACCGCGAAAAGGGAGAAAATCTTGGACGATTTCGCGAAGAATCCGCTTCTGCGGGTCTTGATCATGACGACAGGAACTGGTGCAGTTGGGTGTGTTTCCCGAAGCAGGGCTTTTTTGGTCTCATCTTTCTAACTTCTACTAGTTTAAATCTTGCAACAGCGAACCGCATATTTATCGTCGAGCCTCAGTGGAACCCGAGCGTAGAGAATCAAGCAATTGCACGCGCTTTGCGACTCGGTCAGGAGCAATCGGTGCAAGTGACCCGCTATATTATGAATCAGACAGTAGAGCAAGTGAGTACTGGCTTAGTGCTTCTAGGAAGGCTTCTTATTAACGATTCTATAGGAAATGCGTTCTCAGCAGGATAGAAAGCTAAAAATAGCTGGTATTGGATGGGAATGAGCCAAAGCAGAGTTTATGTAGTATAGAGTACCCTAAGGTTGTGTCGCCACTCTTCTCAGTATTGAATCCCAAAGAAGAAGGTTGAAACTTTCTACCGACTTGCCAGCGCCAAATGTTGCAAGGTCTCAGCGCCATTTCGGCTTTAGCCGCAGAACAATATTACCTGCAGGATCCCCGCTTTCACCGGTGAACAGCCTCGCACGTGATGAGGCATTTTCAGAATGGGATTACAGTGCAGGGAATCGTCAATTGGTGACAAGAATTCCCTCTTTCTTCCAAAGACTCTTTGCCGAAATCCACCATCGGTTGTATTCCAGCCCATCTTGGTGGCTTAAAATTACAGTGCTTGGTGTTTTGGGCCCCGCGTTTTGGGCCCAACTTCCCGCCAAAAAAATGCGGCGCACCGCTCTATCACGTCAAAGTGCTGTAACAGTCCCCTTACCTTCATCTTTCAGGGTCACTTTGGATTAGGAGATAGTCTTCCCTAAAATGCCATAACGACGTCTGAGGGAAAGAAGCCAGACGAGATAGAAAGCTAAAATTCAGTCGAGAAATGCCTTGTCTTCACTCCACACAATATTTAGAAATCTAGCCTAGCTTGGGGTAGTTGCCTCACACCCGTTGGGGCAATTTGAGGGCAAATAACAGAGATATCTCGCGCACATCACAACAACGAGCGCTGTCTGCTCAAAATTTATACAGACTATAGGTTTGCTCTGCACATTCTTAGCTCATCGTAGAGCAGAGTCTCGCGGTGTTGGATCAATCGAACTCTTCTGTCCCTCACCTGTTCCTTTGAGGCCCATTCGCTAGTGAATGGTCCCTCTCCCAGGCTAGAGATTGCCATGTACAGAGTATGGCCACGTAAGATGCAAGCGCGGCGCTACGCCCACCCAATTAGTATAGATCTCCGCGCCTCCGCGCCACCAACCTAGGCCCGAGG